GAAACCCCGACGAGCGCCACACCGAACCAGGCATGTGGTTGGAACAGAGTTAGAGACATATCAGTTTCAATCTTTTTTTTGTCCCTACAATTAAAAAAAGTGTTTCTATCGAAAAACTAGAATAGACATTTTTTATATTAGGAGCTCATGTTTTTTCTTTGAAACTGTAGATTTCCAGTTCACTTGTTTTCTTATGTAACACTTGAGGCTTTTGCTTGTTGTGAATTAAGATTTTGGCGTATGACACATTACCATGTTGTTTATTATTATTATTATATTTTTATATTCTTAGTTTAAAAACACAGCCGCACACTGTTAAAGTACATGTACAACTTGACAAACAATTTTGGTTTAAGCAATATTTGGACCAAAATCAACCTGACATGTTCACATTTAGGAGTGAAAAAAACCTTTAAGCTTGACAGAAAAACTCTTCTGATTTCTATCGTGACAAGTTATCGTGATAAGGATTGTTTCTATATCTCCCTCAATGTGACGCCAGGTGCAAACTTTATTTTGTGGGAAGTAGCTTTAATGTCACAGATGACAACAGACCTAAAAAGCTATTCTCAATGAGCTTGGGTTTGCTTTTGCACAGCTGACGGTGTCATCAGACTTTAATCTTCACTCATCACACTGTGACATTCCAACCTCCCTCCCCCTACAATGAATAAAACTGTTTAACGTGTCTATTCCTTCGGGCTCTGCCGGTTATGTGATTTCATTTTCTCGGGCTATGAGGCATTAACCTCACCTTAAACTTTAGCACCCCATTATCAAGCCTGACTCTGCGTGCTCGTACAAAGGCCACCGTTTTATGTGAACTGTTACCAACCTTCGCTGTTACTGCTAGAAAAACATGTTTACGCCGTTTTATTCGGATTTAGTTTGGACCCGTGCATTCGGCCTCTAGATATTACTCGATATTCAATTAGCTGCAAGTTTCTTTCAGCTGATCAAGAACTTGAGGTTGTAATTACATTTATATTTTCTGGTTGTGCTTTCTGAGTAGCTTGTTAGCTTGCACCCTTTTAAAAGTAACACTTTGTATCTAATTAGGTACTTAATTAAAAGGAACTCGCCCCTCATTCATTTATTTTCTTCAAGCAGTGCGGCTGAACAGCTCCGCCACGATCAGCCAATAACTGACTGTTTTTAACTTTGCAACATGGGTTTCATGTTGTATAAAGGACACAACTTGAATCATATGATGCTACTTTGGTCTAAAAAATTCAACAATGACATGAGATATTTAGACCTCATTGTCATGGCAACGCAGTAAACATAAGTGTGCTTTTCTTGATGGATACTGGGACTGTGTTGTTGTGTTGAACTTTTTGTGTTTGTTACAGGAGATACACATATATATATATTAGGGGTGCAACGATACTCGTATCGATATTGAACCGTTCGATACAGTGCTTTCGTTCAGTACGCATATGTATCAAACAATACAAAATTTTTTATTTGTTTTATCAACTTTTCTTCTGACGATGCTGTCTGTGTTGAGCGCTCCGTTCGACTACTCCGCCTAGGCTGCACTGTCGAGCGCAGATTCACTGAGCGCAGCGCAAGCTAGCAAGACAGAAGCTAAGCTCGTTGCAACATGGCAAATTGAACCTCCCCCACCCTCATTCAGATCTGGCGTTTGGAACTATTTTGGTTTTCATGTGACGTATGACCCTGAAGGTAAGCGCGTCATGGACTAAAGTAAAACAGTATGTTGGATGTGCCAGCAATGCTCAATTACATTGGTGGGAACTAGTGTGTTAGCGCAGTTAGCTCGTTAACTGTTGGCCGTCCAGCCCCACGCACGGGGCGATCAGCGGTAGCTCGTTAACGGAGATTAGGCGTGTTGTGGCGTTAACGTCATTTCAGATTAACGCTGACAGCACTAGTGGGAACACAACGAATATGACTGCACATTTACTCCGACATCATCCTCGTGCAAAGACAAGTGGAAGCAGACAAAAACAACAAGCACGCATGCTACAAACTTTACAGAGTCATTTAGACAGCCGTTAGCACATGATTCTCCTTATGGGGACCTGATATGTTTAATATGCTGCTGAGAATATAGCCCAGAAGAAGCGTATAGTAGAGCTTTTATTTTGGAAAGAGCCATTTCTCTGTAATAAACTCTCTTTTCCAAAGATGAGGGATTTCTCCATCAGATAGATTTATTTTTTATTACTTTGTTGTTTCAGCAACATTAAATTCAAAAACTGTACTTCTGAGTTAAAATATATATTTATAATTTTTATAAATGACAAATTAAAAAGGCATGAACATTTTTTGTATCGAAAAAATATCGAACCGTGACACCAAAGTATCGAACCGAACCGTGAATTTTGTGTATCGTTGCACCCCTAGTAAAAATATATAAAAGTAAAAGAAATGTTAAAGAAAAAAGTGTCTTTTTAATATTGTTAATGAATGCCTTAAATCACAAAAGCAGTGTTTACATAAATGGCTTAATTTGCATTTGGAATTCAAGACCCAGGTTGTGCAATATGAAGTTCAGCTTTAAATGCATCTAAAAATGACAGTAAAAAGATGGCAGTCTGCCAGTTAATCCCATTTCTGGTTAATAATTAAGTAACCGAGAGATTACGATCCTGCTCCTCTCAGTGGAGACCGAAGCAAGGTTACTAACAATATAAATAAAGAATCAGTAATATAACCTCGGTGTGATTTACCTTGAGAGAGGACCCATTGATTGAGTTTGACGTGATAGAGCACAGAGCGAAGATTCCAGTGCTGAACGAGCGGATAACCAGACACCTCGCTGTAGTTCACCATACCTGCAATGATACACACATAAAAAACACACTTCCTGTAAAACAAAATAAATAAAGCAAAGAAAACTATAATATTAATGTGTTATTTACTCCCACAAAGCAGAGGAGATTGCAGTCGTCAGTGCAACATCAAAGGGTGGCCCTATATTTCATTCTTGTTTACTTTACCTGAAATATCAGGAAGGAAATGCAATAAATATGAATAACATCTTAGATGATGGGAGAACAGGCTCCAGTTTAAGATCAAGAGAAACACAACCTGCATCTGCAGCTACCTGCTACTTAGGAAAAAAAGGAAATGGCAACATTAGCATTTGTTCAGAAATATGGTAATATACTGAACTCCTTTAAGTATAAAACGCATTAATTCTAAAGTAAGACTATGTTAATATCAGTCACACAGCAAACTTTTACATCTTGGGGCCAAATATCAAACAAATATTGTGAGTTTCTGAAGCTCTTTATAAGGTAAGTTCATGCAGTGAAAGTTATCAGGGTCACACAGCGTTCAAATTATATGAAATTTTTATTTCTTGAAAACTGCCTGCTGTTTATCATCAAACAATCATAGCAGATTGAATATTTATTCATAAGACTAAATAGCTTCATCGCAAATTCCTTTTTTATCTCAACTGTTGATTCACTTTGAATTTGCACTAAACACTAAAAGTCTGTAATAACTCCTAATTAGCCTCGTACAAAAAGGGCAATTACCCATAATTCAGTGTATTCTCTTTTATTACCCGTGTCCTCTGTGTGACAATGATAGGTTGAAGTGATTAAAATAACTTCTCTTATACTCAGACACAATAATTTCTGTTCAAGTCAACCCCCCGAAAATTAATGAGATTACAACTTATCTTTATTTTAGTTGATTTATTAATAAAATCTATTAAGACAAAGGTATTACCATTTGAAAAAGAGATAAGGTCTCATGGTATAACACAGAAAATAGTATACTTAGTGTGATTTTTAAAAGGGTGGATGAAAGTTTCCTAACTATTTATGTTGCTACATGTTTTTCACTAACCGTACAAGTTCCCAGTGATTATTTCAACTTTAAGGCTTATTAGTTTATTTGCAAATCAAATCGACTTGTCCTTCGCATTAAAATCATGTAAATAACAAAAGAAAACCTAAACAAAAGGTAAAAAACCCTGAAGTGTCGTCTTATTTCTGGTCATCCACTTTAGTCTGCAGAGTTTTTAAAGTCATTTTGTACAGCAGCAGAATATTGCTTCTAAGAATTAATATGCCAGACATTCAAAGTTTTCTTCTGTGCTAACAAATAAACACAGGATTGATTGAGTTTGGTGATGTGCTAATTTCTTTATATGCTGCTAGGAAAACAGGAAATAGTTGTAGCAATTTAATGAAAGCTGCAAATATACATGTAAATACAGTTTTAATTCTAACCAGCTTGCAAGACAATGTTTGTTTGGCCACCTTTGTTCTTCAGCATAGTATAAACTCTCTTAAATATGTGTTCCTCCTCTTCTTCTTGAAGGCTGTTCAAAACTCTTCTTTGGATGTTGGCTGCTTTTTGTTCCATCCTCTGTCCAGATGAGGATGGATGGCTCTGGGGGGCCAGTCCATCATTGACGGTGTCCCATTGTGCATTTAGCTCTACCCAGTTATGACCTTGCTTTGGGATCATTGTCATGTTCAAAAGAATGGAGCTGCTGCCAACCAGATGCTTTCTAAATGGTTCTGCACAGTGGATCAAAATCTGACCTTTTCTGCGTATGTAACCACGACGAACCACGACAGAGCGGAGACAGCATTTTACAGATGGCTGTAGACACTCTTGTACCTCCTGACCTCCTTCACATAAACCGATAGTGATTTCAAAAATGTCTAATTCTGATATATCTCTGCATAAGACCTTTTCAGTCCAGTTCTCGTGTAATTTGGTACCACAGCATTTCCTTCTTGTTTCCCTTGCTTGAATGACGGGCTTCTTGACAGCCACCCTTTCACTGAGACCATTTCTAATAAGACTACGGCAAACTGTAGATCGACCAAGTGGTCACGTGGTTCTCTCCAGTCAGGTCTTTGCTCGATTTTTCCCCCCTAATGTTTATTTTTTTATGTTTAAGGACATGACTTTCAGATACTTTACATTTGCTGTAGATAAGTTTAGATCAGCCACGTCTTCTCTTGCCCTTCACTTTTCCAGTTCCCTAAAAACGTCACACTGCACATCATGCTTATATCCCAGTCGTCAGTTTCTCGTCG